CTTCCCTTCTCTGCTTGCACCAGGGGGGAACCAGGCCCGCCCCTCCCAACCCAGCCTTTGCCTTTTTCCCTAAGAAAGCCGCAGCATAGGGGGATAAACACGAGAGAGAGAACTTAAGATCTGGGTCATTCTTTGCGGAAAGGAGACCCGAGCTTAAGTCTGCAGAGGAAGATACATTGGAAGGGCTGGGGGGAGAGGGGAGAAGGAACAGAACACCCTCACCCCTCCCTCTGCCTCTTGCTGAGAGGTGCCCTCCGGACCCCCAAAGCCTGAGGCTCTCTCTAAGCAGCAGGTACAGGAGGCAGCTGAGCCTAGGTTTGAAGCTGTGGGACACTTACCCTCTCAGGGTAAGTTTCCTTTTCTGGAAATGGAGGGTAATAATCCCTGGCTCACTCGGACCAAGGGAGCATCTCACACAAGAGGGGCGCTTCTCCCCACAGGTCAGGGTAGAACTCCCCTTGTGGGTCTCTGAGACTCTTAACTCCTTACAGCAGTAGAAAGCCTCATCTTTCTCCTATGGAGCGGCTGGTGGTTTCAAACTGCTGACCTACCTGCTAGCAGCCAGACGCTTCATCCACTAAGCCACCGGGGCTCCGTGAGGGGTTACGTGTTGGGCTGCGAACCACAAGGTCAGCTGTTCAAAACCACTAACCACGCCACAGCATGGTCAAGCCTTCTATTCCTGAGAAGGAAGAGTTACCATCTCAGAAACCCACAGGGGCAGTTCTACTCTGTCCTGCAGGGTCGCTATGGTTCGAATTCACTCCATGGCAGCGGGTCTGGGGGGCGTAGATGCAAAGCCCAGCCCGAGCTGCATGCCTGGAGCACTTGGGAAGCTATGGGCCACTTCAGAGCGGGAAGTCCTGTGGGAGAGCGCGGTCTGTAATGCCAGACTGCTAAACACAGAGTCAGCAGTTCAAACCCACCAGCCAGCTACTCCCGGGGAGAAAGATGAGGCTGTCTGTTCCTGCAAGGTGCAAGTCTCAGAAACCCAAGAGGGCAGTTCTTTGTCCTACAGAGTCCTGTGAGTGGCAATGGACTTGATGACGGTGGGTTTGGTTTTTATTGTTGTTGATAAACTCTGTAATAGGGGCACCAAGTTAAAGCTCAATCAGCCCGAGGTCTCTCTGGAGACTGAGTGTGAGGAAGGGTCCCCATCCATCAAGTCCTCAGAAAAGGAGGTACAATTCTATAGGTATGGAGACGGTCCAAGCCTCTGTGAAACCCCTTCAAGCCCTGAAGCCTCCTGGCTGTTGCTAGTGAGACTGCCCTCTGCCTGGGTGGTGGACAGGTGGACACAAGACCAGCCTGTCCTCACTGTGGTCAGGCCACAGCAGCTGCTGCCCAGGGGCCAACCACAGTGAAAGGAGCAGTGGTGAGCACCCCAGGCCGGGAACCTGACTTACGGGAATGGCGCCACAGGCCAGGCCGGTAGCTAGGCAACAGGCTCCCATAATCAGCTCAGCTCACTTTCCGTTTGTGTCTGCTTGGCTCCTGTCATAACACGCTACTCAAATGACCAGACCGCTGTGTGAGAAGAGACGCCTTGAGATGGGCGGGGTGCGCGCCTCTGCCCTTGGTCGCCCTCGGCCAGCACCCCAGCCCTCCCTGACCCAGCTTGGGAGCTCCGGGCTGCAGGGCCCTTCCCTCCAGAGAGGCAGTGGCTGGTGGAGGGAAGGCTGCTTGAACACCTGAGCGAACAGGGAAGAGGGTGGGGGGAGTAGGGAGAGAGTCGCAGTGGTACTGAGGTGGTCAGAGGAAGTGGCAGGGGGAGGGCTTAAGCCCAGGACCCCTTGAACAAGACTGTCCCCTTAGGCATAAAGGGATACCAGAGCAAGTTCCTTTTGGATGTCCCCATCTGGCTCGTAGGTCTCCGGCTGTCACCCACAGGAGGAAGAGAACTTCCAGAACAACTCCCAGGCCAGGCCAGCGGGAAGACTAGGTTGTCATCAGAGGGTCAGGGCTTGGGAGGCAAGGAGGCCCGCTTTGGAGCCCCTTTGGAGCCGGTGATCTCTGGGAAGCTGTTTACCCCTGAACATCCTGCTTCCCAATCCCTTCAATGGGAATAGTATCTCTTCCTCCCCAGATCATACCCACCACCACGCAGTATTTTGGGCTGCAAAGCACAAAGCTGGTCGGTTCAAACCAACCAAGTTCTCTGAGGGAGAAAGATGAGGCTCACCTGTGCCCATAAAGATCAACAGTCTTGGAAACCTGGTACAGCATCACTATGGGTCGATGGCAGTGGGTTTGGTTTGGTACAAGGGGAAGTACCTACACAAGGTGCTCAGTAAGTGGCAGTAAAGACATTCTTGTAACCCTCATTGTGGGTCACTGTGAGCAGCTGGAGGGCTGCCCTCCTCGCATTCCTTTGCAGTGGGCACGTCCTCTTTTGGCTCATAGGCCGGTCCATGCAGCTACTCACACTAGGGTGAAGAGCGAGGTGACTGGAAAGGCAGGGAGGTTTGCCGGCTCTGCTGCTAGTTCAGTGTCTCTGGCCAGACCCTTCACTGCCGAGGCTCCGTTCTCTCGTGGCAGAAACAGGGAGAATTCACCCTGCCTTGCCCCATACTTCAGATGGCAACCGGCATGCCCTGGCTGGCTGGTGTGATTCCATGTCAAAAAGGCAGCGCTCCGCTGCTGTGCCAGGGAGCCCTGATGGTGCTAGGGTTCAGCGCTCGGCCAATGGAAAGGTTGGCAGTTCGTATCCACTGTAGGAAGACCTGGTGATTTGCTCCAGTAGAGACCACGGCTAATACAACCCCAGGGAGCAATTCTACTCTGTCACAGGAAGCCACTCTGGATTGAAAAATCTACTCATCAACACCTAAAAGGACAACACTTTGGGATCCTGCAGGGCTAGCAATGGGGCAGCCCAGGCCCTGAGCCTATTCGCAGAGCCCCCTTGGTTGGGTTCCCTGCTGAGCGCTAATGAGAAACACACTCACTAGTGGTACTCTCTCCTGGAACTCCAGAGGGACGCATCCGAGCAGGTGAAAAGCCTCCAGAGAGCCCAGAAGACTCAGCGGTCGGGTCTGGCTCCCCTAATCACCTCATCTCAGTGCTGCTTCTCTGGCTTGTCCCCTTCCCCCATCTCCATCAAGCTAAAAGTCTCTCTCTCTCCTCTTCCTCATTTCCTTAAAGGGGGATATCTGTGCGTGTCCCTCTGGGGCAGCCAGACCAGAGCTGCCACTAGCAGGCTGCGTTTACTGTGTGGGACGCCCATGGACAGCACTCACCTGGCCCTTAGGCCAGGCCACACCATTGCCACGCTCTCCCCTGGAGCTGCCCTGGTGTTGGGCTTGTAAGAAAAAGGTGAAGGCAGCTGCCGCGGGCTTCTTCCTCAGTGCTCAGTAAGGTCCCGTCCCTACTGGAGGCTCAGGGGAGGCCACTGCCCGACACCTCCCTTCTCTGGCTAGTATGTTCTGGTGAGTATGCCAGCCTGGGCCCTCTTGGCAGCCCTCCCTCCCCCCACTGTCTGGCCTCCCCTGGGTTGGGAAGTGGAATGTTTCCTTCCATGACTGGGTAGAGGCCCAGTACAGGTGAAGCTGGGGGTGGCAGGGCTCTGAGACTCATTAGCATGACAACTTGGGAGGACAAAGGTGACAACCTGTGTCCAGGTCAGGAAACAGTCCAGATCCAACAAATCATGTGGCTTTCCTGTTGGCCAGACAGACCCAGCTACAGCCTCAGGATGTCCCAGGAGGCCAGGGTCCGGCCCCCAGGGCTTTCTTCTACTGAAGCTAAAGCCGGGAGAAGGAATCCACCAGACAGTAACTGTTTGGTGTCATCGTTATCGGTAAAGCCATCCTTTAGGGTTAAAAGCACTTTTTAATAGCTGCCCCATTATAGTGGGGAGAGTTTGAGTATCTCTCCTACCAGCCCTTAGATAGGAAGGGATGAAGGGGCCCTAAATTGAGTTCTGAGAAGCTTGGTGGCGTGGCTGGCGTCAGGGGGATGTGCATTGGGAGGCTAACCATCAAGTCGGCCGTTCAGACCCAACGAACACTTGACGGGAAAGATGGGCTCAGAAAGATGTACAGCCTCAGAAACCCACCAGGGCCATTCTCCTGTCTCTCTGAGTCAGAATCAACTCAGTGGCAGAGTTAGGTGGGAAAAGCCTCGGTCTTGCCTAAACCAACCTGTTCACACACACAATTCACGCAGGAACGTGCCCCAGGGGTTTCTGGGAAATGCGTGTTGCAGCCAAGGAAAAACAGCAGTGAGGAGTCTGGTACCACCACCATCCCCCCCCCCCCCCACCGCCCTTGCCTCCCCTCTAGCTGTGGGGGCTCAAAGGGCCCAGAACACCAGGCCCTGCTTATTGTTCCTCTTTCTGCTGAAGCCAGGCCAGGCCACATGTGCTCCTGGCCAGGCTTGTCCCCCCGGGGGGAGATGGCATGGGGCATGCATCTTGATTTATCTTTTCACAAGAGAAGGCCTCTCCAAAACCTGGCCCAGAGGCCTGAGCTCTGGTCCCACCACTGCCTGCCATGAACCGAAGATGCTGGAAGCCTGTGGCCTAGAACCAAGGAATCGTTCCTACTACCCAGGGAAGCATCCAGCTTGATGCCTGCTGGCCAAAATAGGTGCCTAACACACCCTGGTGCTCATCTCCTAAACCCTCCTTGACCCCAGCAGAGGGCCTAATTCCCAAAACGAGGCTCTGTTGAGGCATGGGGGGCATGAGACAACAGTCCAGACCAGCGACCTGAAAAGGGGGTGGAAGAGAGCTAAGAGCACCCCACTCTGCGGGGGGGAGGGGGGCGGTGCTGCAGGGAGACTGCTGGGATTAGATCCAAGTAGTCCTGTGAAGTGTGTGCAAGCTCCCCATGAGGCATACTGGAGAGGGTGGGAGTGTGTAACTCCCCGGAGATGGGTTGGGAGAGGGCAAAGCCACCAGGGTAAGGTAAGCCACAGTCTCTCCAGGGTCCCTCTCCAGGCTGTCCCTACCCACCACCACCTGGACCCCTTCACAGCCCCTTCATCCTGCCACTCACCCTGGCCGCCCGAGACGAGTAGGGATCCTCGAAGAGCGCCCACATGCGGGGCTGCCAGCTGCGGCAGCTCCCGGCCCCGGCACCCTGGCCCGGGCCGCCCTCGTGGGGACCCAGGCGCTGCAGGGCCAGCTCCCGCTCCTCGTCGCCGCCCTCGTCGCTGGGCCCTGCGCCGCCGCCGCCGCCTCCGTCCGGGCTCTCGAAGATGTCGAGCGCCTCCTCGGCGTCGCGGTGCTGCCGGTAGGTCATCCAGCAGCAGGGCTCCACGTCGGTCTCGTCGATGCCCCAGAAGGTGAGCTCCTCCTCAAAGAGCGGCCCGCACACGTCGGCCGGGCAGTGCAGCTTGCCCGTGCGGTAGTAGTTGAGCACGTAGGCGAAGACGCCCGGGTGCCGGTCGAAGAAGAACTCGCAGCCCCCGCCGCCGCTGCTGCCGCTGCTGCCCGCACCGCCGCCATCGGATTCCGCCCGGCCCCCGCCGTCGGGATCGGCCAGCCAGGCGAGGCGGGTGCCCGGGAGGGTGCGCAGGGTGCTGCGGTAGGTCTCATGTCGCGTGCCGCCCACGTTGATGATGATCTTCTCCGACGCCTCGCCCTTGGCCATCTCTTCCTTCAGACATGTTTTGGACGGAGGCTTGTTCCCCGACTTGCGCCCGCGGTAGGAGGAGACACACACCGAGCTGATCATAAGCAGCGCTGCGGGGCTCCGGCTTGGGGCGGCCGCTGCCCTCCAAACACCCTTCCCGAGGAGGCCGCGTCAGACGGGGGCGGGGGGAGAGGCGAGCAGGAGGAGGCAGGAGGCGGCGGCGGCGGCGGCGGGCCCCCACTGCGGCGTGGCCCTGCCCCTGCCTGCCTGCCCCCCGGGGCGCGAGCGGGAGGAGTTGGGTTTCTCGGGTGCACAGGTGGTTGAGGTTGGGGCAGGCAGCGCCGGGGAGGGAGGCGGGCGCGGGAGAGGTGGGCCCCAGGACGCAAGGGAGGCAGGGGCAAGCGCGCACGCTCCCCCCGCGGGCACGGGGCACACAGACGCTCGGGGCTGGGGCACAGCCCCCCCGCACCCCCACAATAAAACAAGACGAGGAAGCGCACAGGCCAGGCGCACTGCGAGCGGTCGGGACGCGCGCGCTCACACTCCCACCGGCCCCCCTCCGGCTCCCCGACCGCACCGAGCCCCGGGAGCTGCCGGCTTCCCCGCGGCGGCCGCAGCGCAGCAGCAACAAGTCTTCCTGGCGGCAGCCGGGGCCGGGGCGACGCGCTCACCGCAGCGGGAGCTCCGCGAACCCGGGCTGCGGGCGGTCACC